CTGACGCCAGATTTGAATTCAGGTCCTCCTGACTTCAGGGCCAGTGCTCTATCCACTATGCCACCTAGCTGCCCCTAGGCATTTCTTTCTGATGTGGTTGCAGAACCATTGCTTGTCTTGTTTGCAAAGGCTAGCAGCACATTTGGAGCAAGTAGGCACTAGGGGGAAATCAGCCAATGATGAGACGAATACCTGCATACTCAGCTCTTTGCTGTTTGAAGCTTCCCACTTAGGTCTCTTCTTTCTCTCTAAGGACACAGTTGTTTTAGAAATTTTAGCCTCTGATAGGTGTGTGTGTCTTTACATATACACATATATAATTGATTTTATTATTTTAATTTTTTTTCAATCATAGCTAGAATGGCACTTCGCCTATAAGCAACATGCCAAAAGGCAATTAATAAATGGAGGCTATAAATCTCAGAGACTCCTGTGTCTTGATGGTTTACATTTTCTGATCTCAGTTCCTACTTCATGATTAGTATTCTGTAAATATGGTATTCATACATTTCCTCTTTATGAGGATCTCTGACTAGAGAGGGCTGGAGGGTAGAGAACTGAACTTCTCCCAAAGCTTTCCTTCATAGAGGGTTAGAAATGGGACTTCCAGCTGATTGCACTCTCCGTCTGAAGTACTGCCTGGTTTCAGCTCCACAGAGCAAGATGCCCTCACTGGGCACCCCAAGGTGTCTCTCCACAATCCCTTTCCCTTTCTAGCTTCCTTTTTTTTGAGTGTTGTCTCCCCTCATTAGATTGTAAACTTCTTTAAGGTAGGAATTGTCTTTCTTTTTCTTTTATATCCCCAGCACTTAACACAGTGCCTGGCAGATAGTAGGCTCTTAATAAATGTTTATTGAATTGAATTGAAACTCACATCTATTTTAATTCTTTTATTCATCAATTCAGCAAATGTTAGTTATGCATATACTTTTCAGTACATTGATTCCTATCTTAGAAATAAAGTTTTAAATGGTAGTTAGATTCCCACACTAGTGCACAAAGGCTTATTTAGACCATAATGTTGCTGAAATACTGAAATTTTGTGATGCGAAATTATAAGCAATACTATTATAATATTAACTAAAAATAGCAAAATGGAATAAGAAATTATTTTAATCTAATCCACATTTAGGTAGTGCTTTACAGTTTAGAAAGTGCTTTTCCCACAACAGCTCTGTGAGATAGGTAGGGCAAACATTATTATCTCCAATTTATAGATGAAAAAAACTGAGACTTAGCAATGTTAAGGGCCTTGCCCAAGGTTGGAAATGCTAAGTTAGTCAGTGAGAGAGCTGGAAATTCAATCCAAGTCTTTGGACTCCAAATCCAGCACCCTTTCCACCACACCCACACTGTTTTGTTTATCTGAAGCTATGCTTACAAGAAGCAAGTCTAAATATGTTCTCTAAATGCCTTGTACACAGTCAATGCCAAAATTAAGGCTACCTCTCTTGATTTGCAGTCCAGTGGCTGTTCCACTTCATCATGCTGCCTCCCATGATTAGTGGCATTTTTTTTTTCTCATAGAGGAGCTGCAGAAAAAAACAAAGAGAAGAGCATAAATTTTTCCTGAGGTAGATGGACATGAATTACAAGAGAAATGGGAAGGAAGAGTTAGGGAAAATAAAAAATTTGTGTATGTGAAAAAGAAATACCATCTCAGGCAACTGTGGAAGTTATGACTGGTGAAAGACAGGAAAAGGTATGGAGCATGAAGTATATATATGATCCCCTCCAAGGAAGCATCACAGGATTCATTCATTGGGTATAATGTTCCTTTCACCTACCACCAGGTGGCACCATTGGTCCAGTACAGTTTAGTTACTCTCCAAAGGTGGGGAGGGAGGTGGTTGGGGATTAGAGGCAGAGGCAGAAGGATGGAAAAACAGAGTAGGTGGAATGGCTTCTCTGGCAATGGGACAGTATACACGGATATGGTGGAAAATTTGCAAGTAAAGGCGAAATGTGTGCATTAACATTTTTTTCTCAAGATTCTCAAGTTTGTATGTGGAAAAGACACAAGATGGTCAGTCAGTCAACAAGCATTAATGAAGAGCTTACTATGTGCCAGACACTGTACTAAGTGCTAAAGATTCAAAGAAGGGCAAAAACAGTCCCTGCCATCAAAGTGTGTATTCTAATGGGGCAAATAACCAGTAAATAACTAGGTACATATACAGAGTAATATTGAAATTCATGCTGACTCAGTGACCTCAGACCTGCTTGTCAGTTGGTGTTGGGGTAAAGCATCACCCATTCCCTGATATTTGTTATGTAGTGAAGTCACCCCCTACCTGTTTGTACCTGGAAATTGTCATGTACTTCTACCATAGGGAAAAATTGAGATGTAAGGGCCAACCTCTTTTGCTGATGGTTGACCTATCAAAATTCTTTATCTCATTATGCCAGTTATCAATAAAAGCTGACCCCACCTTGATCTCCAGTGATCCGCCTATCAATGTATTCCTACCTTGAATGATAAACGCCTTTTGATTCTTTTTGTCCTGAGTTTTCTCTCCTTTAGCAGGGTGAAAGTGCAAAGAATTTTCCTTTCAACAGTAAATGGAAGGTAATCTGAGAGGAGAAGGCACTCACAGCTGGGGGGCACCAGGAAAGGCCTTCTGCAGAAGGTGGGACTTGAGTTGAATCTTGGAGGAAGCCAGAGAAATGAAGAGGTAAAGGTAAAGGAACAGAGCACACCAGACATGGGGAGCAGCCAGTGGAGACCAGAGAGAGAAGTATCATGTTTGAGGAACTGAAAGTAGAAAAATGTAAATAGATAATGGAGTATGGGGAAGAGAGTAAAGTATAGGAAGACTGGAAAGGTAGGAATTTGCCAGGTTATAAAGAACTTTAAATGCCACAAAAAGAAATTTATATTTGAGCCTAAAGCTAATTGAGAATCACTGGACCTCACTGAGCAGGGAAGTAACATGGTAAAATTTATGCTCTAGAAAAATCATCTTGACAGTTGAGTAAAGGATGAAGTGGAAGAGAGAGAGATTGTGGCGGAGAGACCAATTAGAAGATGATAGTAATAGTCTAGGCAAGAAGTGATGAGGGCTTGAACTTGTATGAGTGAAAAGAAGGGGATGTCTATGTGAAATATGATGAAATTATAAACAACATGACTTGGCAACAGATTTGATAATGGTAGGTTGAGTGAGAGTAAGGAATCAAGAATGATGACATGAAGGTTAAGAGCCTATGGAGGATGGTGGTGCCATAGTAATAAGAAAGATGGGAAGAAAGGAGAGTTTCAGAGAAAAGGTAATGAGTTCTGTTTTGAACATGTTGAGTTTGAGATGGCTATAGTATATCCAGTTCAAAATGTACAATAGAGAGTTGGTAATCCATGACTATAGCTCAGGAGAGAAACTTGGGCTGGATATGTGGGAATCATCTGTATAGAAATGACAACTTGAATCCACTGGAGCTAATGAGATAATTAAGTGATATAATATAGAATGAAAAGAGAAGAAGGCTAAAGGACCCAAAACCTTGTAGGACATTTGCTGGAAATCAATAATAATGTTTTATTTCACACATAACCATGTTAGAGAAGAATGGGAGAGAGATTCACTATTAGTGCTCAGTTCTCTTCTTGTGTAGGCAAAAAGCACTCCTTTTGGCTTAAAGCTGATGTCTCTGGCATAGTGGTTGGAAATGGAATGGACCATTGCTAAATATTATAAACAAAATGTTTTAATCCTACTTAATCACATTGAGGAAATCCTAATAGAAATAAATAAGATATTCACTTAGACACAGGATTATAAAAAAAATATTTACTTCTGATCACTCTCAATTAAATATGATATATCCCGCCTCTGATTCCCCCATAGATCTTTATTTGTAACGCTCACGTCATGTCTTACATTCTTTGTTTCATATTTCTTTGTGTACTCATATTATATCCCAAACTAGACCATAAACTCCTTGAGAGCTGAATCTGTCTCCTTTATCTTCATCTTCCCCATGGTGCAAGGGCCATGGTATACAAAAATGAGAAATACCACTATTTTTCTTTAAAAATGTTTATTTCATTATGGATTAAATAATTTTTTATGGCTAGCTTGGGAATCTTATATAAAATCTAGTTTGTATGATAAAAATGGGTTTTGAGTTATAAGCATTTCACTACAAATGAGTTTTGGAACAGTCCTTGGAGTTGCTGACTGCCTAGACACCATTTTTCACTGTTGCTGGTTTTTAAATAAGGTTGGGTGGTTTGTTCAGAAAGATACCTGTTGATCTTTTAGATGCCAGTCTAATTTAATATGCTTTTATTACATGAAAGGCACTGTGATAGACTTTGGAATTTCAAAGACAAAACCAAAACAGCCCTACCCTGAAGGAGCCAGGGTTATTTCCCTGTGAATTCTGTCACAAGTAAAGATTGTTGGCTCTAAGGTACAATAAAGCTCAGGACATGAGATAATTGCTAATCTAGAGCCAACTGGAAATAGATCAGAAATAAAATAAATTTAGAACAAATTTGCTGATGTCATCATTGAAAGTTTTGAGTTATAACTGCTGGTCTGGGAATATTCCACTGCAACTAAAAACAGGCACCAAATTGAGAAAACAAATGGAGAATATACATATTTTAGAGAGAAATTTCACATTGTATTTCCTCTCCTCAAAGAATTTTGCAATATTATTTTGAAAAATTAGCCACCATTAAAATTTATGAAAACAAATGCTCTTACTATTTGTTCCTCTTCTTCCCTGTTCATCCTAAGGAATAGTAGCTATCTATATCTATCCATATCTATGTGTATATATAAAGTTTAATGTGTCTGCTATGTCCCTGAATCATTTTTTTTCTTCCACATGATATTATATTTTTGGTTATTTACCTCTATATCATCTTGGTATAAGTGCACAGCAATAATCACTTCTATCAGTAAACTAAGTTTATTGTTGCTTTTTTAAAAATATAAGTCACATGAAAAATGTAGATATCAGAAAATGAACTGTAACATCTTTGTCCTTAGCCTTGTATGCAAACTAAACACAAGAACCACCATCCTGGCAGCCACCAACCCCAAAGGCCAATATGACCCCTGTGAGTCGGTCTCAGTGAATGTGGCCCTAGGAAGCCCACTCTTAAGTAGATTTGACTTGATCCTGGTTTTACTTGACACCAGAAATGAAGACTGGGATCGCATAATTTCTTCTTTTATTTTAGAAAATAAAGGTAAGTGAAGATAAAAGGGTTGTGTTAAAATGATCCTACCCAATTATGGGGTTTGGGGAGTAAGAATGTGTTGATACTGTTGTATACTTAAGCATTTTTGTGTATGATGCAAACAAGTAATCTGGGGGAGATACCCCTAGGGATGGGTGGCCCAAAGTGGGGTATTATTTATCATGAGGCAAGGAAGGGATTGGATCCAGTGTCTAAGAACAAGGAAAAGTATACAATGTCCATCCATCCTTGGAGGTTTGTCTGTAAACCAATGACTGAGGAGATTCATGTATCTTTTTTCCCCTCATATCCACTCCTCCCTGGGGACATAGACTCAGAAATCCCTAAACCTGCAGTCTAAGACGAAGAACTCTAAGGAATGGGCAGACTAGGGAAAACGATAGGAAATTCATGGAACTTACTTAAGATCTTAGACTCTCAAATTCATAATTGAGGACTAGGGAAGTAACATTAAAAGGTCTAAAAAACTAGACCGTGGCCATCCAGATATGCAGTGAGAGAGTTAGAGATGACCTAATATCATAGTAAGACCTGTCAAAAGGAAGGAAGGAGATAAGAAAGAGTTAGCCTTTTTCTCATTTCATAACAAACTAGATACTATGCTAAAGGGAGGAAATGATAAGAAGCTTACAAGGTATAAAACTCTTTCTCCTTTTCATTTGCTATTATATTCTCACCCTCACCAACCCCCTTTATTTGTTTCCCTGTATTGTTTTAGAATACCTAAGGTGGCAATGTGCTATTTTCAGGGATCAGGAAGTAGGGAGGAAAAACTGTGACCAGCTGGGAATAGGGGAATACAAGAAAGGTGATGGTAGCTAAAACCCATCAGAAGGCACTAGCCAGTCAGGTCCAAGATGGTTGGCCGAAACAAAAAGGAATGTAGGGAGGCTACAATGCCTTCTCCCTCCCTAGGTCCAGGTTTCTTAGTATCAAAGGGGCAAAGGAAGATTAGATGTGAACAAATGAGATTCATCTTAGAGAGAAGCCAATTAGCTGATTCATGAATGAGACATTGATAGTTGTTGGAACAAGTACTTGTGTAGAATCCTGGCAAAGAAGTGAATCAGAGAGAGGAAGACCAAATCTTTTTATGGCATGAATGTGATTTGTAACAATGCATAACTATATAGTAGGCCTCTTTTTTAGAAGAGATGGTCTCAAATGACTTTAGATAGCTTACCCCTTGTATCCAAGGAGAATTGGGCTAAGTTATAAAGCAAAAAATTGAAACTATAAAATATCTCAACAAAGATTAGTTAGGAACATTCAAATACTAGCCAATATATTGGGATAAACCAGAATGACCGTAAATGGTTTTAGCTTCTGACATTAGAAATAGGAAGCTTGCCATTATTATAACTTTAATTTTTTCTGTACTTTTCCTGGAGAAAGATACTAAGAACTGAGTATCGTTTTGATTTTTTGAGACACAAGGTATGAAGAAGGAAGGTCATCTTTTTGAAGAAATTGGTAAGAAGTGGAGATTTATGCTTGACCCTAGAAATGAGAGACTAACATTGATTTGATCTACAGGTTGCCCAAACAAATCCAAAAAGCTCTGGAGCATGGAAAAGATGAAAACCTACTTCTGCCTTATTAGGAACCTACAACCCAAATTATCTGATGTGAGCAACCAGGTTCTTCTCCGTTACTATCAAATGCAGCGCCAGAGTGACTGTAGAAACGCAGCCCGAACAACTATCCGCTTGCTGGAAAGCTTGATCCGCTTAGCAGAAGGTAAGTTTTGCATGGGACCTTCTTAGTCTGCATAGTCATTTAAAAAGTCAGGTCTTGTAGCTGTGAAAATTAAACATTGCTTTTTGGACTCCACTCTTCTAAGCTTCCTTTCTGCTCTTTCAGAGAGTGGTTCTAGAGAAATGTATACTTTTCTTAGGGGGTCTTAGGTTGACCATGAAGATGAGATGATTAAAGACACCCACCTCTCTCCAGTCTCTTCAGAGTGAGAGAATACAAGTATGGTATTGCATAGACTGACATAAATGTTCCTTCAATGTGTTGGTTAGTTTTGCTGAATTTTTTATTCCCCCTCTCTTTTTTATTCTCTGCCACAGGGGATGGCTCTCTGGATAGTGGAGGTAGGAGGCATATACTTGGAAATAAAAGTGATATGAAAACAAAAGGTATCAAGAATGAATAAATAAAAAAGATAGAGATAGGAAGGAAGGAAAGAATAAAGTAAGGTACCTTGAGGGGGTGGGTACAGTATTCACTAAGAAGTGTTCTAGAGGCCTTGTTCTTGGTGAGATAAGACAAAAGTAGGGCAGCTAGGTGGTGCAGTGGATAGAGTACCGGCCTTGGAAGGACCTGAGTTCAAATGCGACCTCAGACATATAACGCTTAGTAGCTGTGTAACTCTGGGCAAGTCACTTAACCCCAATTGCCTCACCTAAAAAAAAATGCTTTAAAAAAAAAAAGACAAAAGCTCATCAATGAGAGGTGTATGGGGTAGTGAGGCAGGAGTCAGAGTCAGAAGGGGAGCCCTAGTTTGGGGGGGTGAGGGGAGATCAGGGTGATGGACTTATTGTTGGCAGGACAGTTAAGAGATAAAGAAAATAAATAGATAGAAGCATTTATTAAATATTCACTATGTGCTAAGTACTGTGCTAAATGCTAGAGAGTATAAATACAAAAACAAAGATAGAGTCCCTTTAAGGAGCTTGCATATTAATAAGGGAGAAACCACAAATGGGGAATGGAGGCCAAGGTGGACCACTTTAATCCAGAAGGTTAGGGGGTGATGGAGATTGTGGAATAGATTGACTCATCCCATTCAAGAATAATGACAGAGTTGAATTGATCTTGGAAAGAAAGAGGGAGAGGGAAGGAAAGAAAGTTACTCATGCTGTGGCAAGGCAGTGGGCATTGTGGCAAGGGTAGTGGGAAGGGAAGGGGAAGAGAGATGAGGAGAGTAAGGAGTGAAATGAAATAAGTCAGTATGGCTGGCCCCAGGGCAGAAGTTTAGCCATAGCCAGGTCTGCAAGGGGCCAATGAGATCCAGGATAAAAAGAAAACTTTTAGCCAGAATACAGGATAGGTACAGCTTATCTTGGGGTCTTGAGACATTTTACTCCAGCTCCCTCTGGAGAGGTGTATGATCTTTTTGCCAGCTACTTTAAACCAGAGACTCTTCATCCTGGAAGAGGTCTCAGAAGTCATTTAGTCCAGTACCCTCATTTTAAAGGGAAAGAAACTGAAACCCAAAGAGAAGTGACCTGTTCAAGGTCCTATAGAGGTAGTGGCAAAATCAAGATTAGAACCCAGGTCTCCTTTACTCTTAAGTCTAAGGATCTGTCCACAATGCTAGGTTGCCTCTCATATCAGTTCACCTCTCACACTACTGACATGCAATTAAGAAAAATCTACTAACTGTATGCTCGAAAACCAAGAAGTGACAGAAAATCGAAGTATTCCTGAGGCTGATCATTGCTGGGAAAACCATACTTTACTATCATTAAAACACCTAAAGTATTATGTTGGTGAGTTTGTTATGTGCATAAGTTTAAAACGTAACCTAATTTTCATTGTAGTTCATCTATTCTTTTTAGCTCCACATTTTAAAGTCATTTGATCAAAGTTGTTGTATACAATTGGTCTTTTTTGAGGGAACAGGGGAAACACTCAGGGTTAGTTGATTTGCCCAGGGTCACACAGCTAGTACTTGTCTGAGGCCAGATTTGAACTCAGGTCCTCCTGACTCCAGGGCCGGTGCTCTATCCACCTAGCTGCCCCCCAATAAATATTTGTAAAGGGAGTTTCCTCACCTAGGATTTTGCTATATCAATGTAATCATAGGCCTGGTCCCTTTCCCAAACTATACCCATGCTGCATTCTGGCTAACAAAGGGGCCACAGCAGTTCCTCCAACCAGCCCTATCCAAAATAAATATCAAAATGCAATCTGCAGGGATATCCAGAATCAATTTGCTCATGGAAAATAAGGTATGGACAGGGAAATGACTTTCCTGTTCACAATAGGTTATCATTGTCCCTCCTTCCCTCCCAGATTGAAATTTTGTGATGCCAATTCTTACCTAGCCTTTAGTCATTGAATAGGCATTGCCTCAGACAAAGTGAAGCCTGGGAAAGACCTGAATTTAGAAGGGCCATGGTCATGCACTGCATCCTGGACCTTTGCCCCAGTGGTCTTGACTTTTTCTTGCCGCTGCTCTCCAGTGACTGTGGAGGAGATAGTGAGGCTGACAACTTTATATAGCTTTGCCTCACTTAAATCCAATTCCCGACATCTCGTGATGTCATTGGTCCTCTTCAAGAATGAAGGACAAACAACAAGAAAGGTCCTAGAAGATATCTCAGGAGCTTCTAAAGTGGCATATTATTTTTAAAAGCCAGAGGTTTCTGACAAGACTACAAACCTTATAACTTATTGATGACTTAGAGAAGTAAGAGGAACTATATCTCAAAGTAACAGTTCCTTGTTAAATCCTTAACTACTTTCATGGTAGTAAAGCCATATATCTATCTCATCCTGGTAGGCCCAGTTCTTCAGGGAATCTTGACAGTATTCCCAGTCAAGATAGTAGATTGGCTGTCAATTGTGTGGAAAAATGAAAAAAACACTGGAGTTAAAGTCAAAAGACTTGGGTTCACATCCCAGCTCAGCAAGTCACTTCCTGTCTGAGGCTCAATTTCTTCATCTATAAAATGAAGATGTTGAAGTAGATGATCTCTAAAGTCCCTTCTGGTTTTAAATCCTATCATCCTAAAATTTCAACTAAGTATTTACTTAAATGTTCAAGAAGATGTAAAACTGCTTTTGAGAAAAATGTTGTTCCTGACTTCAGGCATCCCTATGATTTACCTCTATGTGTAAGTGAAATAACCACTTCATATTAGAATGAATATTCAAGTCAGGCACCTAGCTTTCCTAAAAGAATATCAAATTTGCCTCTTGTATGTCTGTTAGATAAGGCATATAGATCCCTCCTTAAGCAATAATACATAATGTTACCATGTGACACATGACCAACTACTCCCTCCTCAAGAATTTGGTTCACACAGATTCAAAAGGATTATTTCATTTTTAAAAATGCATTTCTCCCATCTGAAGCTTACTCCAGGAAAATTTCCAAATATATTTCATGCCTAGGTTTCCACAGCTGTGAGTAACAAAGTCCCCAGCTCACATATAGCCACTCAGGGTAATAAATATTTGTGGGTAGAGAACACTCTGCTACTGCACAGAAAATACAGAAGATGCAAAAGATTCAAAGGAGTCTAGAAACAAATAAAGAAAAAAACATGGGACCCTAGAAGGACTCTTCGAAGCCCATAACCTCCTCTTGAAAGGGAATTCTTTCTTTATCTACTGACTGCTACTTTTTTCCGTACAAACATGTTCATGTTTCTCCCATCCTTAAAAATCCCTTGGGGGCAGCTAGTTGGTGCAGTGGGTAGAGCACCCACCCTAGAGTCAGGAGGACCTGAGTTCAAATCCACTCTCAGACACTTGACACTTACTAGCTGTTTGACCCTAGGCTAGTCACAACCCCATTGCCTAGCCAAAAAGAAAAAACAAAACAAAACAAAACAAAAAACCCTCACTTGATCTTTCCTTCCTTGCTAGCCATTGTCCTATGTCTCTCCTCCTTTTTGTGGCTAAGTTCCTTGAGAAATCTGTGCCTCTGCTTCTCTCACTGTCTGCAGTCTTGCTTCTGACCCCATTGTTCAACTGAAACTGCTCTCTTCAAAATTACTAATAATTACTTAATTGACAGATCTAATAGCCTCTTCTCAATCTTCATCCTCCTTAACCTCTCTGTACCTTTTGACACTTTTGATCACTTTCTTCTTTTTGATCCTCTCTTCTCCCCAGGTTTTCATGCCACTGTTCTTTCCTGGTTCTCTTCCTACCCATCTAACTGTTCCTTGCTGGATCTTCATCTAGGGCATGCTTGATAACTGTGGCTGTCCCCTAAGGCTCAGTTCTGGGCCTTCTCCTTCTATACTATTTTGCTTTATGATCTCAACAATTCCTATAGCTTCAATTATCATCTTTATGCACATGATTTTCATATCTATTTGTCTAGTCCTAACCTCTCTGCTGACTTCCAGACTCCCATCTCCAATTGCCTGTTGAACATCTCAAACTGGATGTCTCTTAAGATGTCTTAAACTCAACATGTCTAAAACTGAATTCGATATCTTTCCCCCCAAACCCTCCCCTCTTCCTAACTTTCCTACTATTATCAGGAGTACCATCCACCTCCTAGTCACTCAGACTCACAATGTATGGGTCATCCTCAATTCCTCACTCTCTCACCACCACCTCCCATCCAATCTCTTGCCAAGTCCTGTTGATTCTTCTCAACATGTCTTTTATACTCCCTCTTCTCTTCTCTGACCATGCTATCACCCTAGTACAGGCCTTTATCACCTTACTCCTATACTATTGAGATTGCCTTATGGTTGGTCTCCATGCTTCAAAGTCTCTCCCCACTTCAGTCCATTCTCCATTCAGCTGCAAAGTAATTTTCTTAAAGGGCATATCTAACCATGTCATCCTCCCCACCCCACGCCTACCCGATTCCATAAATTCTAATGGCTCCCTATTATATCAAATAGAAAATCCTGGGTTGTTTTTTTTTTTTTCAACCAAAGACAAGGTTTATTAGAATATCCTCCATATTGGCCAGACTCTTAAGGAATCTGAACATTAGTGAGCTATTGGCTAGATTATAAGAATCTGAGCATTTGGCTAGATTTTAAGAATCTGAGCACCTTAATGGAGACAAGATGGACCTTATATACAGAAAGACTGTGGGAGGGATCTAGGAGTGGCCAAGTAGTTTAGGGTAACTGGAGGAGGGGTCTAAGAAGGATCTGGATGGGAGTGGCCAGTAAGCTGGGAGAACGCCAGGGACCTGGACTATGTGACCAAAGGAGAACAGAACCTCGATAGGATTAAGAGTGGGAAGTGGCCGGGGGCCATTGGGAGGTAACAGAACAGAATTGGGAGATTGGACGATCCTCTGTCTTTTAAAGCCCTTCATAACCTTTCAGTCCCTTCCTACCTTTCCAGTTTTCTTATACTTTAATAACTTTTATGATCCAGTGACACTGTTCTCCTTTCTGTTCCTTGAACAGGGCACTCCCATTTCCCAACTCTGCATTTTTTACTGACTGTCCCCCATGCCTGGAATTCTCCTATTCTTCATCTATACTTCTTGGCTTCCTTTAAATCTCAGCTAAAATTCCAACTCCTGCAAGAAACCTTTCCCAATTACCCGCAGTGTTACTGCCTACATTCATGATTGTTGGAAATGCTGAATTTCAGTTAGAGGTTAGTGAAAATAAAGAGATAATTTTCCTCCATTCAAGTTTATGGACCATTGAAACCTTTAGGATGTCTGGGGACCCCAGGTCCTCAGGTCTAACCTATACACACGAAACCCAACTTGGACCTGTCCGTAGGGAATCCTTTAGGAAAGAAGGCAAATAAACAATCTATACCCTCGCCCCTTCTGAACCTGGTTTTCTGAAGTTTCTCCTCTGTTAATGAGAGAGATATGAATGTGGCTATCCCACACTGATGCATTGTTATAGCAGATCACAAAGGCAGGATTAAAAATGGTTTGTAGTGTTGAATTTATATTCGTTTGAAGGAGCTCAAAGTACCGTATCAAAGTATACCAAATACCTGTGGGTGAAGTAGGTGGAATATATTACTTCAATTGTTATAGAAACCATCTGTAAAGCTATTTAAATTTATTTCTTTTATGCTTGTTATTGGGAAATTAATTTGTCATTAGAGGTTCATTCGGAAGATAATTTTTTTCCTGGGCCAGAAGAATTGTATTTACCATCCCCACTCATTCATGTAAAGTAAATGACTTGTGTCCTGGTGACTCTGAATGACTTATTATTTTCCTAGCTCATGCCCGGCTAATGTTCAGAGATACAGTGACTCTGGTAGATGCTATTACAGTGGTGTCCGTGATGGAATCCTCAATGCAGGTAAGTGTTGATGCTGAGATATTAATTGTAAATACTTAGGTGGGAAAAACAGTTTTTTCTAACCAAATAAACGATCATAAATCCAAAGATCCAAAGCTTGAAAGAAATTTGGCAAGCATGTAAGGCTTTGGTGTAATATACTCATATAAATTTTTTTAATTATATGGCTAAATTGTAAGTTTGAGGCTAATATTTTCTTCATCTTTGTATCCATTTTAGAATCTGGTATGGTGTCATTAATATTTCTTGCATTTTTTTAATTGTCTGTTCATTTCAGATGATTTAAACTTTGTTCCTCTGTCTATCCTTCACAATTCATGTTTTTGACTATTAGATAAGTAATAATTCGTGGCTGAGTGTCTAAGCATTCAAGATTTCTTTTTACTTTGAACCTGTTAGTAAATCTGATAGCTTTCAACATAAGGGTTTCTAGAACCATTTCTTCATGTGTAATTCAATTCAGTAAATATTTATTAATCACATAACACTATGTGATTAATTTACTAAGTGTAAGGCATCAGAGATAGAAAGACAAAAAAAAAAAAAAAAACAGTTCCTGTTGTCAAAGAACTTACATTCTACCAAATGAGTATATAACATGTATGCCAAGAAGTATATGGAACCAAGAAAATTGAGGCAGGGGATAACAACTATTGGGGTCAGTGAAAGAATCCCAGAGGATGTAGTGGAGCATTGAGGGAAGACAAAATTTCTGCGAGACAGGGATGTAGAGGGAGCATGATCCAGAAAAGCATGGAGACAGAAGTGATATGTTGAGTTTGGGGAATGATTAATTGCCCAAGTTGGCTGAAATGTATAGTTCATGAAAGAGAGTCAAAAGGAATAAGACTAGAGAAGTAGGTTAGGACCAAGATTGTGAAGGGACTTGTTGTTGTTATTGTGTGTCCTTTGTTCTTGACGAGGACCATGATATCAGGAAGGTGATGCCTTGATATGCAAGTGAATTGGATTTAAGTGAGGAGGGTTAGGTAAAGTCACCAGCTTTACTTTCTCCTCTGGAACCATCTAGGTCCAGTGGCTAGATATAGATCAAGACAACTGGAGATGTCCCAGGATGCAGTGGGGTACCTTGGCCTTTTCAAGTTAATAGGTCTTTAACAGGTCTCAGGTTGACTGAGGCAAAGCCCATTCAGTGATTAAGGCTTAATAAGACCTGAGGCAGAGAATGGCCTCTTTAGTTTAAAAAAAAAAAAAAAAATCAATCTGAGAAGGGAAAGGTTTCTGGTCAAAACAGAAACAATTGCTATTTACATTACTTAAATACCAGATTGAGCAGTATGTCTTTTATCCTATAGGCAATAAGAAGCCTCTGATGTTTTTGTATCTAGGAGAGACATGATCAGAACAGTGCTTTAGAAAAGTTATTTTGACAGTTGTGTGGAGGATGAATTGAAGATGAGTGAGTAGGGAATACCACTCACACTAAAAGGGTAGAAAATGAGTGATAATCCAGTAAAGGAGACTAAGAAGTACTGGTCAGATGGGTAGGAGGAGTACTAAGAAAAAGCAGTATCATAGAAGCCAAAGTAAAAAAGTCTCTTAAGTGTAATCAGCAGTTTGAAAAGCTACATAGAGGCTCAAAAAAGATGAGGACTGAGAAAAGACCATTGGATTAGAAAATGGTCAAAGGATATGAACAGCTTTCAAAAGAAGAAATAAAAATTGTTAATAATCACTTTAAAATGTTAAACTTACTAATAACCAAATAGATAATAAATGAAAAATACTTTAAGGTGCCACCTTAAAAATAAAAGCAATATTAAAGACATAAAAGCTGATGAAAATGAGGTTGAGGAGGAAAGAGGTCTACTTATCCATTGCTGGTAGAATTGAAAACTTGAAAAACCTTTTTAGAAAGGAATCTAGAAATGTATATTAAAAAAATTTCAAAAATAATCTTTAATCCATAATTCCATTTTTGAAATTATGCCTCAAAACTGTTCTCAGGAACAAATTTTTTAAAAAGCTATCTATGCAAAGATTTTTATGCAGCATTATATATAATCTCAGAAAATTGGGAATGACCTGCCTAACAATTGTTGAACCAATTAATAAATTGTGGTACACTAATGTGATGGAATACTATAATGCAGCTAAAGCCAGCAAAGGATATAGTGTGTAAAAAAATCTAGAAAGACCTTTATAAAATAATGTGAAGCAAAAAAAAAAAAATAGAAGCTGAGAAAAATGAATGAGAATAAATGGACAGATTTTGATGGAGACTAAGAGGGAGTGATGGAAAGATTGTTATAATACTTTATGACTTGAAATTATTTAATTTAAATGTTAAATAGTTACTAAGCTGAAAGGAAGCATGATATAATGCAGAGCCAGCCTCAGAACTCGAATGACCTGGGTTCAAGTCCCAGTCTTATTGAAAAGACTCCCGTTTTACATAATGCTAGTTCTTGGTTTTAGATAGACATTATTTACTATATTAAGAAAGGGTCCATTTATTACTATTTTTCTAATGTGTTGGACGTAAATGGGTGTTACGTTTTGTTGAATTCTGAGTTTTAATCAAAGTCACTCAAGATACTGTTTATATACATATATGCTTAGGGGGGAGTTCAGATGGGGAGAATTCCCTCTGCTAATTAGAACACTCTCTAACCCAAGCAACTTCCTGCTTGTATTTTATAGTAATTGTGAAACATGACAAAATTCCACAATGAAGTGAAATTAATTACATATAATTTTTATTTATCAAATAGAACAATAGTAATGTTAATGTTTTCTTTGGCGAAGAATAATATTTTTCGGTTTTCTAAAGATTAAAGGGTCTTTATTAGCTTAAAACAGTTGTCATCATGTTTTTTATTTTTTGCCTTTTACCTAATTAGATAGGGAGGAAGAATTTCCCCATTCACCTGAGAGGAGCTGAGATGAGTGTATCCTTAGAATACTTTCCCTTAAGGGTGAGGTTGGATCCTTGAGGTTTGTGAGTGGATATGAAAGATAAAACTAGCTTTTGGGGTTGGTGTTATTATCTAGGCAGCAATTTAGAATGGGGCTGGGCAAGTGCTTGATCTAGATGATTTGGATATTGACATCAGGAAATCTGAGCTAAGGTCAGGGGCTAGAAGAAGTGAAGGCGGGGAAGAAGTAGGATCTTCACACCACAGAGTAGTAAGCTCCAGTGGGGTAGGAGTAGGGAAGGTCATAAATGGCCAGTGATGCTCTTGGTGACCATCAAACTCGTTTAGACTTAGAGAAGCTAAGAGAACAGGTAGTAAGGCATGGACTAGCTCAAGGTCAGAAGAAGTTGCCAAGATTTCTCACAAAAGAGCAGGTTGAGATGTCAGGTTTGTGCCAAGTGCCCTGTTTTTAATTGAGAGGCTGTGGATTTTCTGAGCATTCTCTCATATAGCAGGTGTTGTGTCCCAACGGTAATGGGGCCTTCGAGAGGTTGGTTCTCCTACTGGGATATTAGCTTCATCTTCTTTAGCCCAGGGATCCTTACAGTCTTCCCTGAAAGGCAATGCTATATCCCCAGAGAAGATGGGAGATGGGAGATTTAGAGGAAAGAGTCAGCCCAAATGGGTACAACGTTACCTGAGCCCTTGGAGTTATTTCTGTCTGATTCAGGCCCTAGAATCTCTAATGGGGCTTTACTGGGATTGCTAAAACCTTGCGTTGACAGAGGAGTTCGTCTAAAGAAACTGGGTAGAATTTTATTAACATCATGACTTTTTGTTCTTTTTAGGGAGGTGCTCTTCTGGGAGGTGTGAATGCACTCCATACATCCTTTCCTGAAAACCCCCTGGAGCAGTACCAAATGCAGTGTGAAATGATTCTGGAAAAGCTGGAGCTTCAGTGTCTTCTGAGTGAGGAACTCAGAAGACTTGATAGGTGAGAAAAGAAAAGCCAGAGAAGACTTAAAAAAAAAAAATAATCTGACAATGACTGTAACAAGAATTAGCATGTTGAATGGGAAAAGTAAATTCTACATATGACAGTGTGCTACCGTTTGCTGAGTAATTAATTTTCTGGTTTGCTGAAAAATTAATTCTCTATTCTATTGTAGTGTCCCATTTAAGAAACAAAAAATTCAGAGTTCACGTCACTTTAGAAGCATTATATGGCTGCCTGGTGAGCCAGGGAACCTTAGTAATCTAATACTATCCCATCTTACAAGAATTTATTCCTGTCTTTTGCTAGGTTTTCTTGTTCTTCTGGTGATCTGGTGTTGAAACTAAAGTAAGGACGAGGCAAGTTTTGTTAGGAGAAGGAAAATGTTGTAGGGGAAAGGGAGAGAGTGGAGTAGTCCTTCCTAGCCCTACCAAAGAGAAATACATTTTGTCAGCTTCTACTAGAGATACAGCATGACCTCACTGAGTCTCAGTTTTCTCATCTGTAAAATGGGGATATTATATGGCAGCTATTTCAGAGTTGCTTTTAAGCCCAAATGATGTGATGTATATAAAATGCCATATAAACATATCTGCTATAAATACTATTATTCTGATGATAGTAATAATAATAATTGCTATTATTACTTCTTTACCCCAAGCAGGAAGTGTGCAGAAATATTTAAAAGCATTCTTGGCATTTATGGAAAACATTCTTCCAAGATACATTCTTTTTTTTATGAATGATAATTAATTAATTTTATATTATCCCAGTAAAGAAAACTAAATTTGTTTCAGATGCATTAGTAGGAAACTGAAATTGGTTTTCTGATATGCCTAAAGTAACTCATTCAATTAGTTAAAAAAGAGAAATAATTAACCTTATGTACGCAGTAATATCTCTGTTAGCCCATGCCAACCACTCTATTCCTTCCTCCAATACCGCTGTCCTACCAGAATATACACACAAATTCAGGTATCTTGAATTTCTACACTTTGATGACCAAAGTGGGCAGATCCATGAGGGAAATAGTACTTCTATTTTAATAGTAAAGTGTATTTGTTCCAAATTTTTACTGCTCAAAACTGATTGGAAGTTGTGTCATAACTTTCTTTTCTAATAGCTTTTCCAATATTAAGTGTGACAAACTTACTCATAGAAATAATTAATAACATTATATACCCAATCAAATTACAGTAAACTTTCACTTTGTATTAAAAAATAGCCTTTTCCCCCCTCCCATTTGGCCTGCTTTGATCCTTCTCTTGATCAAGAGAAGCCATTAAGATCAAAGCTGTTCCTTTGGGTTGTTTACTTTTTGTTGTAACAGATCCTTTTAAGGCTCTCACAGATCTGCCTTTTGCCCTTTGCTCCTTGGTAATGAAGGAGAGCTCCCTGTGCCTGGGGTTTAAGGAAGGTCTGGGGGAGGAAAGGAGGGAAGAAGGTGAAGTTCAAAATGAGTGCTGTGTAGTATGATACCAGCAGGGTCACTATACCCCTCCCACCAACATCAGGAGGACCCTCTCAGAGGAAGAAAGAGTAGGGGAAAATAGAAATCTATGATTCTGCCTTCAACCTTCTTCTCTGCTGTGTGTTTGCATTGAAAGGCAGCCACATTGCTGCAACCCTCAGAGCAACAAAACCAGATGCAGCTTGGAGATTCCAACAAGAAATAATCTAGTTTTACAAAGTAAGAAAATGCAAGCAGCAGATGGCTCTTTTCCCCTTAGGAAAAAATTCTTTATTCCTTGGGGAAACTATATAATTATAATCAAACAGTTTATATTTATATAGCACCTTTTTATCCCCAAGTGCTTAAAATCCTGTGTGGCAAATAATGGCCATTTTAATCATCTCTTAAGAAAGAATGATAAAAGCTTCTGTTTAAAAAAAAATAAGTAAACTACAGACATTTTTAACAGGGCAAATTTAACTATTAAAGTAAACATTTGTCCAGGAAAATGGAGTTTGTGCTTCCAAGGGGGGTAGGGGGAGGTGGATTAAATGAAAGGAGACCTGGACAAAAAATCTAGCCCTGACTCTCCACAACCCAGGCCACTTAATGTTTCTAGCCTTCAGGCTCCTCTTCTGCAAAGGAGTTGAACTCAATGACCCCTGAGATCCCCTTCCATATCTAAAATTCAAAGATTATGTATGCTCTTCCATATAGTCTCACTGTTCTGGCCCAGTGGATAGAGAGCTGGAGTCAGGAAGACCTGAGTTCAAATCCATACTTGGTAGCTGTGTGACCCTGGGAAAGTTAATTATTCTCTGTTTGCCTCAGTTTCCTCATCTGTAAAATGGGAATGATAATAGCCCCTACCTCCCAGAGTTGTTGTGAGGATTAAAGGAGATTAATATTTGTAAAGCACATTGCACAGTACTTGGCACATAGTTGACATTACATAAATGCTAGCTATCATTATCATTATAATTCTTATTATTAAAATGCTGATTGGAAGAAGAGGCTAGACACTGACCCTCAGCTAGTCTTTTTTTTTTTTTCCAGGCAGTTGCGGTTAAGTGACTTGCCCAAGGTCACACAGCTAGTAAGTGGCAAGTGTTTGGTCAGAGGCTGGATTTGAACTCACATCCTCCTGACTTCAGGGCCGGTGCTCTATCCACTGCGCCACCTAGCTGCCCCCATCAGCTAGTCTTAAATGACTCAGATGGACTCCCAAAGTGACTCAGAATTTTGGGCTATTTAACTGTTCTTGCTCCCCTTTACTAACATGTCATGTCACCTAAATGTATGCTAATAATGCTATACTGATATCTAGAAATTCATTTTAAAATTCTGGGTGTATTTGTGTGAGATTATTGAAGCAGGAAAATGTCACTTCCTGATGTAGTGGATAGAGCATAGAATCTGGAATCAGGATGCCTAGATTTGAATCCTAGCTCTCTTTCTTACTATCTCTGTGTGATATTGAGGAAATTATTTAACCTCTCTGGGCCTCAAGTTTTTTCATCTATAAAATGAGTAGGTTAGATTAGATGATCTTTAAGGTCTCTTTTGCCTGTCAGTCCTATGAACACTTAATTAATTTTGTAAAGCAGTACCTGACCCTAACATCAAGGGGTTACCACCTGGTCAAGAGAAATTAAAACTTCAAAATGAATGCTTTTTATATAGTTACAGTTTTCTCTCCATTTTTCTTCTTCCCAGGCTAAAGAACCAAAATTCACTCTTGTCACAGCCTGGAGAGAAGGGAGTAGAAACTACTTGTGGGTCTTTGGGAAATGATTGGATAGAAAAACCAGAGAACATATCCCAGCCCAACCCTTCTAAACAAGAAGCCAACTGTAATGGACAGACCTCCTCTGTTAGAGAAAACACCAAGAGCAGTGCCCCCTTCAGGTCCACATCACACCAGGGGACAAGTGAAAAGAAAAGGACAGAACCCCCAGGTAAGCCTAACCAGAAGGACAGAGACACCAGCTTGGACTGGTTTGACTCCATGGCAAGTGAGCACATAGATTCTGAAAACAACTTGGCTCTATCTCCTATTCCCAAGATGACCAAGGACAGTGTGGCTTCAATGGCACCCAATGACAAATCCCATGGCAAGGGAAAAAGAGCAAGGAGTAAAGTGGAAACTGACCAGCTTCCAGCAGCAGCCAATACAGATGCTCCATTGACTCTCAAGAGGCCTTTTCATTTTGCTAAAAAAAAACCCAACCAGTCAGAAACAGTTACTGAGAAAGCAGTGTCTCCAGAAGGGCCTGACTCAGTGATTACTCAGCATGTCCCTAAGAGTCGGCAGAAATCCCGGGAGTTCTCTGAAAAGGCACTAAGCTCCCAGATTATTTTGCCTCTTCTTCCTGCTGGGATAACTGGGGAAGTTTTAAATTCGGAATCTGGTTTAACTCTTCCTCATCATCCTCACCTTACCCCCTTACAGAGGACTCCTTCAGAGGAAAGTCTGGCATCTGCCGTGAGCAAAAACCACAAAACTGAGGATGAGGTAGAAAAGATAACAAGGAGTGCCCCTGACCGTGAGAGTGATGAGGTTCCAGGTGCCCCATTGGCTAAACTGGCCAAGTTTACATTCAAACATAAGTCAAAGCTCACCCACTCTTCTGGAAACAACAATCACACTCTTCCTCCTGCCACAAGTAAAACTTCAGTGACACTTCCTAGGATTTCTAGCCATAGAACTAATGAAGGACAGCCAAAGGAAGAAGAAACATGCCCCAGGAAGGGTCCAGAAAAGCCAGTGTCTGTATCTGGGAAGAGAAGATTAATGGAGCTAATGCACAGTGAGACTAGGGAGGTGGCACGGCAGCCGCAAAAGAAAGATGGGGCAAGAGAATCTGGCCTGGCCACTCGCACTAAATCTGGGGTTGAAAACCAGGCCGACCATTGCCTCTTTGCTGGTGAGAGACAGAAAAAGGAGGATTCATCCAGTCTTAAAAGCAAGGTTCAAGCTTGCACATTAGCTAAATTAGCAAGCTTCTCCTTTACTGGCCCTTCTGAATCCAAACCAGGGACCCCACCCACTCCTGGCAATACAAACTCTAGCGAGGGAGGCCTGAGCCATCCTCCTACAGGCCCATCTGTAGCCCTTGGCAGAAGGAAAACTTTTCAACTGGAGGGGGCTGGAGAGAAAGCTGTCATTTCAGGAAAATCTCTCTTCACCTTAACAGAACTAGATGATGATGATGATGATCCATTAGATTTTGATTGGGAGGAAGAAATGAGGAAGAATCCCAAATTGTAGAGTTCCACCATTCTTCCTTCGGTAGAGCACCTTCAGGGTATCGGTGATATGCTCTCCTGTAACCAGCAGCAAAGTGTCCAGTGAAGGAGAGATGGGACCTTTATCCCTGACACTATCAGGTTTTGTGATTTTCACTTTGAGCTCCTGTGTGCCTCTACACAATTTGAAAAAGTTGTGTGGTCATTTTAAGTCAGTCTAGTGGCTTGTGGTCATAAGAAATAACTCAGTGACCTTGTTCTTAATTCTGTTAACAAACCACTTGTGTTCCAGCAGATGGTTTCTGTTAAGTTGGTCTCTCCTGGATCCCTTGTTCCAATCACTTGTTAACAAGAGCTAAGGCCAGGAAAAAAGCAAATGAACCTTAATTTTTACATTCCTACATCTGGATTCTTTGGGATATATCATAGTGACATTACTGCCATTAAGGATATGTGTTTTGTAAATATCACGTGACTTTCTTTGCCTGTCATTTTTGTGTTTCTTATCACACGTCTTATTTAGATTTGTCTGAAATGTTTTCTTTTTTTATGAATTTGCCTTCCTTGTTCCATGATAATGACTAAAGTATCCAATTACTGTTCTTTATTAGCTTTGTATTATATTAAACTTTTCTGGGGTTTTCATCTCATTTAAAGGCCACCATTTTCTATCTTAGGATGTACTTTTCATTGGGAAGGGAGAAGAAAAGGATGTGGGATAGGGCTAAATCACACATCATGTGTCTGCTAACCAGATAGACAAAATGGAATTGAGCCCTACTTGAGTGATTTATTTGCCTCAAACAGATTCTTCTTTTGGGTTCCCATGTATGTTTCTAGTGCTTCACAGGGCTCTATCATCATGATTTTTTCTCTTCTGAAGAATGAATTTTCATTTTTGGAATGTGCTTACCCAAGCCATCTGGGGGGAAAAAACATATAGTATAAAGGACCATAAATATATATGTACATAGAAGAAGAAAAAAGATTTAAGAATTATCCCTTAACTCTGAATCAGCTTGTCAGACGGTTTTTATTTCAAGTCTATGATCTCACTGCAAACACTTTCATAGTGTCAGAACATTTAAACACTCTAAAAGTTACACCATCTTCTGTTTCTCACACCGTACTGCACCAGATTCAATTCTAATGTGCTTGTGCTGAAGCATGGATTGAATAATGTTGTGAATCTGCTGTCTCCTGATGAAGATATGTCCATGTGCCATTCTGTGAATGTGCAGTGGCATGGGAGAATTTCCTTCTTCTCTTCCTGCCTTCTTGCCTACCTACCTGTCTTTCTTCTTGCCTTTCTGTCCATATTTTTGAGAAATAAAAGAAGGTACAAGTATTATGGATTGTTATCTTTGATCCGTGTTAACTAAAATATACAATTTTTTTTTTTTGCTAAAGACATACCTAATTTTAGAATAGCGCAAGTTCGTTCTTAATTGAATAAGATTAATTTTCCGTTCTAACAAACACAGGAGGAAAATGACTTTTTAGCACTAACTTTGTCTTAAATCTCTTAAATTGTAAAGTACTCTTGATTTTCTGCCCAATTGATAGAATGACTTGGAGACTATTGACAGAATAAATAACCATCCACCCATCAGAAGAATCCTTAGACAAATCCTCAGGCAGATCCTGAACGTTAAGGAACTCTTAACTCTGCCCTGGAACTAGAAAACCTGCCAGAGACAGAGGCCACATTGGTCTAGAAACTTAGTGATGCCCCTAAGTGGAATGCCTTGTACATATGAGAAAACAGGAAGAATTTGAATTTTAATAGCTTAATAATATATAACACTTTAAAGTTACAAAGCACTTTGACATACATTATCTCATGTGTTTCATTGCTGACATTCCCATTCCTCCCCATGTATTGGGTTATCAGTAGCCCTGGCCCTGCACGGCGAAAGAGCACAGAGGAGCCCCGCTGCCCTTTGTGTCACGTACATGGACATAAGATAAAAGTAAACAACTGGCCTACATTTTGCCTCTGACTTTAGGGTCTGTAAGCTCCTTATTGTACAAAGAGAAGAGACTTCTTGGTGGCAAACAAGGAAAAGCCCATTCTTACCCCCAAACAACCACACAGATTATTCATAGGGAAGATTGGAGGTTGTCAGATAACTGGCTCTCAAGTTATTCCTCCCCTCTCTCCTGCCTCAGTCCTTCTCTCAGTTTTCCACCTAAGATGCTTATAGAGAGTACACATTGGAGATGTTTGTAATAGAGAGTTACTTGTCTCTGATGACTTGAAATTGTAGTAGTTTTAAAATAATCATAATGTAAATTTGAAAATAAAGACAAATATTAAAAAAGGAAAATTACTATTTTTAACTAGACCTGTGATTTAATTGGTATAGGGAACTCCCAGCAAAGAAATCCCCATACCAGTGCAGATCAACAACTGTTCTCAACTTAGAGTTTTAAGAGAATTGCCTGAGGCACTGAGAAGCGAATGACATGTTCAGGGTCACACAGCCATTTTGGGCCAAAGGTGGAACTTGGACCCAGGTATTTTTGACTGTAATGCCAGTGCTCTATCCACTATGTCTAGTACATCTATTTTGGTCCTAATTTCACCAGGAAGTGGAGAAGAAATGGTTTATCTTGTGAAAGCAAACCAATTGTTTCATTCTGTGAGACTCTCCATAGTTCTAAATTCCAAGTGTTACCCTAATGGCCTAGAAAAATGGATGGGCTCCCAGGATGCCACGAATTTGCACTGAGCCCTTAATTAATTGGGATGAACTTACTATCTCTGAAATAACCCAAGTCAGTCAAGGTATTACAAATACAGTATGAGTTTTTCGTTCGTTTATTTTTTAAGTGCCTGCTGACACAAAGTGGCATCAGCATGGTAATGGGAGAATGGACCCCATGAGGAGTCAGAAAACCTTCTAGTGTGTTCTAGCCTGAACTTTATCCCTGCTAGTGTTGTGATTAAGTCCATTATACCTGTCTGGGTCTCAATTCCTTCTTTTTATAAAGTGAGAGGATTATACAAGAGATTCTTGAGAGGCTAGATGGAGTGCTAGACTTCGAAGTCAGAAAGAGCTGGGTTCAGATCCCAAGTTAGAATTATTAACTATGACCATGAGCAACCTCTCTGAGCCCCGTTTTCATCAACTGCAAAATGAATACAACAAAACTACCTCCTTCACAGGGTTGTTATGAGACACAAATTAGACAATTTATGTAAAGCATTTTGCAAACTTTAATATGTTACATCAAAATCAGATATTTTCATCCAGTGTCACTTCTACCTCAGATTCATGAAAAGGACTAGATTTATTATTTCATTGGGATAGGGAACTCTAAGACAAGGGAACTCCGCTTCTACCAGTAATGCAGGTCAGCATCTTCTCAGCCCTTGAATGATCTTCAAGTGATCACCGAACTTGAGGATGAGATCATGGGCATTGCTAGTAACATGAGAGGCACACCCCTTCAGCTTGGGGACATTCTGGATCCTCACATCATCTGTCACAGTCCCAGCAACCACAACTGTCTTGTTTTCTCTGCCTGGTAGCTCCATTTTTCCGATCATTTGGGACAGGGATGGGGGGAAAAGGAGGGGAAAGTGGGGTGAGGGGTCAGGGTGGGAGTGGGGAGGCAATTGGTCTGGCTCATAAATAGATTTTTCAGCACCACCTTGCTTAAAGTCAAGTTGGCTTTGTGGGTCAGGAACCAGTACAACTTCATCAGCAGCCACAGTAAGATGTCCTGGCTTTTGGACTCCTTGAGCCATTCTTTCTGGTCCTTGTGGCAGATGTCAACTCCTATGCTGACACCCTCCCAACCACCAGCCCAACCAGGAAAGGGAATAACCATTTGTTGAGGATATTATAGAAGGAATACCTGTTCAGGTATGAGTAGAATAGATGTATCTAACCACAGTTCCAAAAGACTCATTATGAAACATGCTAGCCACCTCCAGATAGAGAGCTGGTGTACTCAGATTTCAGATTGAAGCATATTTTTTTTTTTGGACATAGCTAATGTAGAAATTTGTTTTACTTGACTATATATATTTGTAATGAGTTAGTTTTTCTTGCCTTCTCTGTGAGTGGGAGAGGGGAAAGTGGGAAGAAGACAATTCAGAACTGATATTAAAATAAAATTGAATTATAAAAAGAATAAAGTCTCAGGTCTATTCCAACCCTTAGATTCAGGTATCTCTAAGGTCCTCTCCAACTATAACTCCTATGATACTATAATCTCTTCCAGCTCTACAATTCTATGATTGTGAACATAGAGAGTCAGGAGTAACTTACTGTGGTGTTTAAGGCAATTTGTTCTTCATGTTTCTCTTCTCCCTTGTGTAAAATGGGAATCCTAAGCACTTCATAGTGTAATTCTTAGAAATTCTTATATGAAAGAGAATTTGTACTCATTGGGGGAAAAAAATCCCTCTTTGCAGTCAAGATATTATTTGTATAAAGATACCACATTATTTCAAATTTTCAGTTTTACAGTTACCTTAAAAAATATATCAAAAAATAAGTGCATCTATTTCTTAGTCCTCATTTTCCATTCTTGCTCAAAATTAAAATAAAAATGGTAGCTCAGAATATTTTAGGTCACCTAATAACGCAAGATTTATCCTCAATGATTTTTTTTATCATCTTCTAGGAAATTAAACTGCTGATGAATCCAAGAAATTGTAACTGAAAACTACCTTGGAAGGTTTGTTAGATCTTGAGACCTTTGTAGTCACCTTCTCTCAAAGGTATTCAATTTCTGTTGCCTTCAAAGGGAATGGAAAATGGCCTGTTGCCAGCAGCACAGCAAGTCCTTAGAGGGGCTCAGTTGCACAAAGATAGTTTCCCTGAGGACTTGTAAAGATGGAAGAACTGTGTATTTGCATGACATGACCTGTTACTGAGAGGGAAGGCATCCACAAAAAAACCACTTGGGTCGTTTTTTTACCTGGTGCCTTTAGTTGCTTTGTGAATGCTGTAAAAGAGATGGGATTATAACTTCAATTGAATGAGATGTGTCCATACTATGTCAATTCAATGTAGACCAAATGCAGCTATATTAATCGATTTATTAAAAATTTTAAGATAAAACAGCCAAGTAGTACAATGGATAGACTGCCAGACCTAGAGTCAGGAAGACCTGAGTTCAGAATCCAGCCTCAGCTACTGGCTGCGGTATCCTGGGAAAGGCACGTAACCTTAATTTGTTTGTTTCCTCATCTGTAAAATGGGGATAATTATAGCACCCCACTCCCAGGATTGTTGTGCGGATCAAATGAAATAACAGTTGAAAAGCATTTAGCACAGTGCCCAGCATATAGCAAGTGATATGTAAATGCTCTAAAACATATAGTGTCAATAGTGTAAAAGCTGTTATTATTTTTTACCTGAATTAAGTTGGGAGTAACAAGAATTTCTTCTAAGAAGTGGTATAGGGTAATGGGTAGAGTGTTGGCCTTGGTGTTAGGAAAATCTGGGTTCCCAGCTCACCTCTGGCACATACTGGCTACATAACCCTAGGCCAATCGCTAAACCTCTCAGTGTCTCAAGCAACCTTCTAAGACTATAAGTTGCAGAGCAGTTACTGACCTGTACTGGTAGAAGGGAGTTCCTCACTACAAGTTCTCTTAATAGTGAAATAGTAAGATTGACCCAAAAAAGTAACTTTTTTTTTTCAAATTTCCCATAGAGACCAATCAAATCTCAGTTCTTAAATTGATTTTGGTATTTCTATTTTAGGACAGCCTCAGATACTTACTGGCTGTCACTTAACCCTGTTTACCTCAGTTTCTTCTTCTGTAAAATGAGCTAGAGAAGGAAATGACACACTATTCCAGTATCTTTGCAAGAAAACCCCAAATGAGGTCACAAAGAGTTGGACCTGACTGAAACAACTAAACAATTCTCCCTTTACAGTATTTCTCACATCTATCCCCC